GGCCCAGCCAGCAGAGCCCAGTCCTCCTGACGTTCCGTCGAGACCAGGCTGAGTATCTGACTTGTACCAATTTCTATTTTTCTTCTTAGTGTTTCTTTTTCCTTTCTTTTTGCCTTCTTCTCCGCAAAGCCCCCCAGTACATGGCTGCATATTTTAGTTGTAGGTCCTTCTAGTTGTAGCATGTGGGCCGCTGCCTCAGCGTGGCCTGATGAGCGATGCCATGTCTGTGCCCAGGACCCAAACTGGTGAAACCCTGGGCCGCCAAAGCAGAGCGCGCAAATTTAACCACTCGGCCCCGGGGCCAGCCCTGACTTGTACCGATTTCTAATAGGACCGAGGTGTCCCCTGCTGCAGTCCGTGAACCTGTCAGGGCCAAGCATGCCCCCCACCACCCCTCCCCCCGCTACCTAGACACAGAGTGTCCGTGCAGATTTACTCCACAGTGTAACGAGACAGAGTGATTAAGAAGGAGCTCGTTGTCACAGAGTAATTTCACTTTAAGTTGTCTGGTGGGGGTGAGAAGTCCTGCCCGGAGGCCTGAGGATAAGTCTGATGAGCCCGTGTTTCCCTGGAAACCACAGCCCCCCCCACCCCTGGCCTTTTTACCTTTTGTGAAATTTCTGTAAGATTTCCCACCTCTTCAATCAGAGAACATCCTCCTCAGGACTGTCGGGAGGTCCAGGGCTTAGAAGAAGTGGAGAATATGGCCATTCAGACCCCAGCCTCCCCGGAAACCTCCAGAGATGGGACTGCGGGCACTTCCCCCAGCCGCACTTGCCCCTCAAAGGCAGGCAGGCCAGGGCGGAGAGAGGGGGCGGCAGCCGGCCTGCGGGTGACTGAAAGCATGACCCCACCTGGGTTATCTGAGGCCACAGGGACTGTAGCAGGGCCCTAAGGCCCTGGACCCCAGCCCCCTGCTGTGAAACAGGAAACAAGGCCGGGCTGCAGCCCCAGCCACAAGCCCCAGAACATTGAGGTCTCTGAAGGCGCACTGGATGCTGCCCGAGGACCGAGGGCTGGCTGGCCCAGCCGGAGGGAAAACAACTCACAAAGCGAGGCTGTCAGCAGGCCCTGCCACCCACCCCCACCCCACCCCCACCTCACGGCATTTTCAGTCAGGCCTCTTCCAAACGCAGCCTCATCCTGGCAACTCAGAGCAGCTCTCAGACGCTGGAGAGGTCAAGCAGCTGCACCCCCAGCCTCCACAGAGACCCCGTTCTGGCTGGAGAGGACAACTCTGGAGCTCACTCAACCCCACCAGCGAAAACAAGGCAACACGAGCCTCTCACCGGCTCAAGCGGGAAACACGGAGACCAGCACACAGCAGGTGCATGCTAAGTGCACTTCCCTTTCCCACTCCTGCCTTGAGCAGCAGAGATCACGCAGAAGAGACGTCCCCGTGATGGAGTAACTCTGGCTCCCATCCAACACAGGGGTGGGCTGACACCTCTCACCCAGGCTCTCAAAGGACTCCCCCCACAGGCTTCCCTGAGGCAGACAAGCAACCCCACCAGCCCCCTTTGCCCAGACACATCCCTGCAATGGCGGTTTGGGGTCTTTTCTGCGGCTCACACCCCCTCTGAGAATCTCGTGGAAACTCTAGACCTCGTACCTAGAAAATCCTCTCATGCACAGAGACTTCTGCTCTAGGGTCACACAGACCTCTGAACCCTGAGCCCTGCCCGAGCTGTGAGGGTAGGCAGCGGTGGGGAGTGTCTACACAGCTGCCTGCGGCTCAGCTGCACTCCTTCCTCACCCCACTCGGCCCAGCTCCTCGCCACAGGGCCCCACCCACTGCTGACAGCACCGGTGGGAGCCGTCCAAACTCAGCCTGCCCACCCAGAAACCCATCCAGGCCCCAGGCGGCTCCTCCCTGGGTCCACGCACCACCCGGAGCCGCCCGCCCAGCCTGGGTGAGCAGCCACGCAGAGTGTGGTCTGCCCACCAGGGCTGCTCTCCATCCACCTGCGGGCAAAAGAAGGGACCCTCCCAGCTCAGGGTTGGGAGGAGCGGGTCCGAGCTGTTTCTGCCCAGGCGGGCCCACATCTCGGCTGGTCTCAGATCCCTCCTGACTCAGGGAAGCCCCCTGTCTCCAGAAGTGCTTCTGGAGCCGCTCACAGGCGGAGGGGGTGATGGCCATGGCTCCACGCCCAGAGGCACATCTGCAGAGAAGGCCCTTCCCACAGAGGGCAGGGGGCACCTGATCTGATGCCCACCAAGCCCGGGGGCCACAGGGAGACCGCCTCCCTCCCCTCTGACAGCAGCTGCCTCCAGGATCCGCAGGGACACCCAGAGGGGCTGGCACACCTCCGCCTTCCAGAAGCCAGGCTTTGGCGGCAACAAGTAGAAGAAAGGTGGTCCCGGAGGGCTCAGGGCAGCCCCAGACCCGAGGATTCGTTTCCAGCCAGGATGGGCTGCAGCAGCAGGCCTGCCAGCCCCAGGGCCTTGTCCCTGCCCCCTGCCGGCTTCCCCAGGCCCAACTCAGCACCCAGAGGGGAGAAGCGGCCTCAACTTCATTTAATTAATGAATCGACAAACAAAATGATGCACAAACATGGGCCAGTCCATGCACAGGGGCGGCCAAGCCCTCTGGAAATGCAGGCCTCGGGAAGGAGCCCAGTACAGGGGCAGGAAAGGCCCCCCGAGTCAGGGTGGGGCCAGGCCCCAAGGAGAGTTCTGCTGGGGACCTGGGGGAAGGGCGATGAGCAACGTCAGCAGCTTGGAGAAGTGTCACCTTCGGGGAGAGCCCCCTGGCCAGCCCTGGGGGAGCAGATGCCCACAAGTTCATGTGCACAACGCTCTGGGGGCAAGGAGCAGCTGTGCACACCTTCCTGACGGGAAACTGAGGCCTGCAGAGCTCCTGTGACGAGGCTCACGTGCCTAACCCAACAGTGGCCACAGACCCTGCTCTTAACCATTGCCCCCTCCTGCGTACCCCACTCCCCGGAAGAGACCCGCCTGCTAGTGGGGCTGCCTTCCCCAAGTTTGAGCCCCTCAGCTGGTGAGCTGAGGGCTAAGGGTGCTCACGGAAGCCCCGTGCCCTGGGTGGAGGATCCTTAGCAGGCTGAAGGGGTGGGGCGACACCTCTAAGGTTCCACGCTGTGGCCCGCCTGTCCTGACTCAGGGGTCTCCAAGGTGGAGATGGCACAGACCCCGTACCCGCCAGAGCAGCAGCCATACCGGGGCTCCCCAAACTCCGCTTCCGGGGCTGGACACTGCAGCTTCAGGAGGCAGGAGGCACAGAGGGCTGAGCACTTCAGGCCCAGGCAGGGAAAGGCCACTCAGGGCTGGGACGGGGCCACACAGCGGGGACCCCAGGGAAATGCTGCCAGCCAGGGGACATTCGTGCCCAAAGCACAGAACCCTCTGGCAGGCACACTACGGGTCAGACTAGGGGGCCCAGCCGCTGGACTGAGGGGCAGACTCTGTCCACGTACCAGAGGTCACCTGAGGCCAGGACCTGGCTGACCAGAGCCAGCCCCCCTGGGAGCCCCCTCATCCCCCAGCCAGGGGGGAGGGAGGCGGGGGTGGGGGGCCATTGGTGAGGAGACACGGGGTTCTTCCAAGCACAAACAGCTCTGAGAGCACTCCTGCCCTGGAAGAGCCAGAGCCGTCCCTCTGGGGCGGGTGGGGGTGACTCTCACCGCGCCAGGGAAGCCCCTGCCTCTCGGGACTCCCAGAGTGGCTCAGCGCGGAGGCTGGGGACAGGGCCCAGGGCCCCCCGCCCCCCAGGGCTGTGATCTCCCCTCAGGACACCCTCCCCGCCAGCAGCCTGGCATTTCCCTCCCGGGGTCTTCTCCCTCATCCCACGGAGGGTCCGTCCAGAGCGCACACTCATGGCACACGGGCACACTCAGGGCACACATGTCCCTCCATCCAGGTAGGTCCTTGGTCAGAGACGGTTTCCCAGAATCCGCCCCTTATGCCCATCCCAAAATGCCTCTTTCATACAAAATGGCCGAGTCCTGGTCCCGGTCTAGCTGGAATGGGAGAGAGCGCCTGTATGCTCAGAGGCTGCACATGCACACGCACACACACGACTCTGCACAAATACCCACACAAATACCCATGTGCACACACCACCAGGCCAAGGCCACTGCCCTTCCCCAGGGACCAGGAGTTCTGGGAACACCAGGCCTAGGGAGACCAACAGCCCCTTCTAGAGCCAGGGCTGGTGGGCCCAGGACCGTGGCACCCCTCCTCCTGGGTGTCCCCTCTAATAGGGAGGGAGTCCAGAGCCCAGAACGTGCACCAGGGGCACCACGCACACACCTGCTCCTCCAGCTAGCAGCTGCAGAGAGGGGTCAGGGCTGTGCTGGGTGGAGGGGAGAGCGGGGGCACGAAGGCAGCCAGGGATGGGTGCAGGCACCACGGGCAGAACATCACTGCCCTCAGCTGAGGCTGGGGGAGGGGAGAAACATTAGGACCCTCCCCCATTTCAGCAACCCAGAAGCTCAGCCCAGATGGAGAGTGAGTGGCTTGGAGAGAAGGGGAAGGGTAGGAAGTCTCCCCTTCCTTGGGGGAGCCCAAACTACAGGGGTCCAGATCCAGTGGCAGGACCGGCAGCGCCGCCCTCCTCCCTGGCCGGCCCTTTGTTCGATGCAGCGGCCTTGGGGAGGGGCCTCTCGGGCTGAGGAGGGGAGGCTGGGGCGCCCGCACATCTCCCCATCCTGCGGGGGAGGGGCTGATGCAACCCAGCCAGGCCGCCGGCGGGGGAGGGGAACGGGCGCCCCCGCCACGACCTGAACTCCCGGACCCCAGAACTCCCTTCTGCCCGATCTCTCCGAAATCTCTCTCCAACCTCCGCCCTTCGCTTTAGCCAGAGGACGCAGTCCTCCGACTCGGACCCCACGCAGACGGTGTGACCGACGCGAGCGCTCGGACATACACACAGGGACCCCTCATCGCCCGCAGCTGTGCGCCCGCGGGCCTTCACGGCCGATCGGGTATCCGGCCGTGCCCCGCGACCCCCGCGCAGCCGCCCGCGGGTGGGCACTCACACGTAGGCGTGGTAGATGAACGCCCAGCCGCGCGGCCGCTCCAGCACGTTGTAAAGGAAATTCTGCAGCTTGCGGTAGAAGGCGTTGCGCTTGGGGGGCTTCCCGGCGCCCGCGCCCCCCGCGCGCGGCTTGCTCAAGATGCTGCCGCGTTTGGGGGCCTCGGAGCCGGCGATGAGCAGAGCGCCGTCCCGGGTGGAGTCGGGCGCGCCGGGGTCCAGCCCCACGAAGCCCACCTTGAGCTTCTTCTCCCCGCTCGGGCCGGGGTACACGCCGCCGTTGCGCGACTTCTGCACCATGGTGCCGGGCGGCGCCCGGGCGGGCGCGGGCTCAGCGGAGGCGGCGCGCGGGGGGCGGCGCGGGCCCGAGCCCAGGCCCCCGGCCCGGGAGCCGCATGGCCGTGGCGGCAGCAGCGGCGGCGGCGGCGGCGGCTCCGCGCTCCTGCCAGGCCCGGGCCGCGCGCGGGGACGCTGCGGCCACCTCGCTCCGCGCGCGCCTCAGCGCCTGGCCCGAGGCCGCGCCGGCTCCGCCTGCCGCCTCGCCCCGCCCCCCGTTAACCCCTGCGACGCCGCGCAGGCCGCCGGAGGGGAGGGGAGGGGAGGGGAAGGAGCGAGAGGAGGCAAGGACCCGGCTGGGCTAGGCGTCCCGCTGCCCGGGCAGACCCGTTGGAGCTCCGCCTGCCACGTGTGCCCTGACGAGGGAACCCGGTCCCCTGGTCACTTCTGAGGTGGGCAGGACCCGGCAAGCGCACCGCCCCAGCGGCCCCCGGCTCTCCCTGGGATCCCAAAGAGGTCCGAGCGCGCGACTGGTTGGATTCCTACTAGCTGGGCCCCAGGACTGGACACCTCAGAGCGGGGAGAGGTTACGGTTCTTGCCGGCTCTTCATTGTGTGGCCCAGCCCGGGTGGACCTTATGCTCTTGGCCTCGGGGGGACCAGGCATGAGGCCCCCAAAACCTGGGTTTCCAGGGTGTCCAGGAAGGTGTCTGGGGAGACTATCGAGGAGGTGGCCTGCACTGGGCCTTGGAGAAGGAGTGTGCAAGGGAGGCCGCAGGGGCAAGGGAGGCTGCAGAGGCATGAGAGGGGCAAGGACGGCCAGAGAGGCTCACCCTGGAAGCCCCCCCAAGAGGCCTGGACTTCATTCTGCAGAGCCCAGAAGGGGAAGAGGGGGGAGGGTGGACCCCAGGGCAAGACGGAGGCCTGAGGCGGGTGGGGACGCTGGTGCTACAGTCCAGAACAAAGGAGGGCAGGCTCTGGACACAGACGGCAGGGTGTCCCCTGGGGAGGGAGTGGGCAGAGGTGGGCTATTTTAGCCAGGGAGCCATGGATGTCCTGGGGGGCCTCTAGGACCTGCTGCTGGGAGGCCGAAGAGGGGCCCTTGCACACTTGGCGCTCTCAGCTCCCCACCAGGCCCCCGCTGGAGCCTCCCGCTCCACAGCTGGGATGGTGGGGCTGCAGACGCCTCTGTGGACTCTGTCCGGCCTCTTCCAGCAGCTGCCTGGCACCCTGGGCTCCACCAGGGGAAGGACCCTGTACGGGAGTTGGCGCTGTCCTCCTTGGTAATCGGCTCATAACAGAGCACGCCCCCCGGTGCCGGTTCAGCTGTGCTGCCCACCTTTTGGTTTCCAAAGCTAGTGGCCATGTGGCGTGTTTATTTATTTATTTTAGTTGGGCAGAAAACACAATAGTCAATGCAGGCACAGTGCTAATTTGTGAGTCGTCTGGAATGTTGGGGACGGACTGCAGCTGATGCCACACACACCTCTCCACACAGGTAGGTCCCAGGGGCCACACTCCTGAGCCCCCCTCCCTGCCTCCATGCCCAGGCATCAGCTACACTCACCAGCCTCAGGTGGCTGCAGGTTTTCTGAGTGTGTGCCCCCCACGAGCCCAGATGAAGAAGGAGGCACCAGCCTGGTCAGTTCAAGAGGAGGAGGGGGTCTGGGCTACAGAGGAAAGAAGGGCCTACCTTCATTCCCCTCAGGAGCTGGATCTGCAAGCTGGTGGCGTCTGGCTGGCTTTGCTCACTGGCCTCTGGTAGCCCTTGTTCTCGCTCTTCAGAAGACCGAGCAAAGGGACTGCAACTCAAACACAAACTCTGGAAGGGCCAGGCCACCTCCTCCTGTTAAGGGGAAGCTCCACACTATGGGGTGTCACCTGCACTGGCATCACCCCTCCTTGGGGAGCCCCTTCTCAGGCTGTGATGGGAGAGCAACACGGGCCACGGTTAGGGCTGGTCCACAGAGGATGAATGCAGAGTGATTCCCAGGTGTCATTTTTGCAGATGCAGGAGCACTGAGATGGGAGCAAGGTGGGCTCTCTGGCATTCCAGGACACTGAGGAGAGACAAACTTGCTCATCTTTTTTAGGAAAGAGAAGGACACATCCCCAAGGCCTTTGGGAGCCACGGCTGCCTTCACAGTCTCCTGGGGGGTGAGTCAGTGCTGAGAGGGACGCCCCTCTGAGGGGAACCTGCTCCAGAGGTGGTGGCCCGTGAGTCCTGGAGCCCTCTGTTCTCGGTCCACACATGGTTCTTGCACCAGCCACTTTGCCACATCTCTCGGATGTTCTGGAAGGCAAATCCTACATCAAGTTCTGAAAAATCCTTGCTTCCTCTGTTCTGGGTGTCCTTTTGGTGAGCTGGCTCATTGACCATTTATGTTTTCAACTTTGTGTCACGCACACTATGGACTGTGCATTGTCAGCAGTCTGGCCACCAGTGCCCCCACCCTGCTGCCCAGATGGAGCAGGTGGTGAAACGTTCAGTTGGGGTGAATTTCGTGCAAGAGACAGGAATTCCATTTATTTAAAAATAGATGGGAAAAGCTTTCAGGCTCAAGCCATCTTTGCCAAGACTGCACTGACGGATCCAGAGAAGAGAAGTGGAAAAATTCAGATGCACATGACGCCCAACTCCTGCCTGAGGAGACGGCTCTCACCGGACTCGGGTGACCCATGCCTGGCACAGCGGCCAGCCAAGCTGGGCGCTGTCCTTTCAGCACCTCCAGCAGTGAACACTCTCCAGAACCTTCGCAGCCCAGCGCCCTGCTCCTGCCCTCTCCTCATGGCCTCCTCCTCCTGTCCCCAACATCGCTGTCTACACTAAGCAGCCGAGAATGGACTATTGAGCTGACACAACCGAGGTTGGCCACACTGTCTCCCAGACCAGCCCAGGGTTCTCACAAATCCCCACACGCCCCTCCGAAGCATGCCTGTGCATCCCCTCCGCACCTGGGGGCTCATTGCACAGGCTGTGGCCTGCTTCCCAGCCTGGATCCCCTGCCTTTGTGTGCATCTTGTCCACTACAGTGTCCCACCAGAGCCTGGCATGGAGAAGTACCCACGAAATGTGGTCAGTGGACATCGAAGCTGCTGGTTGCAGAGGCCAACTCGAAGCCCATCTGGGTCGTTCCCTTTCTGGGAACCACATGGTGACTCTTGCCACAGTGGTGTGGGTCGGAAGTGGACTCGGCATCTCCTGGAAACCCACTTCTCCGAAACCCTGGTGTGTTGTGACTCCAGTCACAGACTTCACAGCGGACAGTGGACCAGAGAGAAGACGTCGGAGCGCAGGGGAAGTGAGTCAAGAAGTAGGCTTCCACTGGCTGTCCGTTCCGGCCGAGGGACGAGAGCAGCAGTTGTGCATGCCGTCCCTGTGGCGGAGCTGTTGTTGGCTGAGGGAGCCCTCTCCACACAGCCCGGGTCTGAGGCTCTGTTGACACCCTGTGGTCACATCAAACGTTCTCATGTCCAGGTGTTCAGCCACACTCAACTTCCGTGGGCCAGGGACCACGTGGACACTGGGGGCAGATGCTGAGAATCAGAGTTTCCTGTTCCACCTCTAGCCCGTCTTCTCCCAGGAGAAAAGGCACGAGCCCCCCCCCCCCCCCCCCCCCCCCCCCCCCCCCCCCCCCCCCCCCCCCCCCAGCACCACACCGCACAGATGCTTCTGGAAGAGGCCCCGAGGAGAAGCTCCACCCAGCCTCCGGGAGACAAGACTTAATTTGGGGAATGAGAAGAGACAGGTTCTCAGTCAATTAACCTGGGTCAGGGCTGTTGCTGAGCTAATCCTATAATTTGGAGAACAGGAAGTGCCTAACCAGACAGAGGTCCCAGCCCTCCCCACAAGGAATTTTCCGCTATGAGGAGGAAGAAGGCCGCCTTTACCCAGGTCATGGGGAGCAAGGAAATGAGGAAAAGATTTAAGATGTGAAAGCATTGATTTTTTTAAAACATCTTACACTAAAGTCAATAAAAATTTAATTTATAGGTTTTCTTTTTAAAGGATCTAAGCTCTCAACAAGCTTCCCCAGCCTCTGGCAAGGCAGCTAATTGCATGAGGGAGCTGACTTGTCTTTCTCAGCCACCAATAGCACCTGACACTAGGTGTCCATGGTCACCTGTGATGGCCAAGACGGGCTGGGAAGTGAAGGTGGCCCTGGACGTGTCTGGAGGGCAGAAATCAGTCTGCAGATTGTGGGCCCTCAAGGGAAGCCCTGCGTGGCTCTCTGTGCACCAGCTTCCAGGAGCCAGCGAGGGTGCTGCTCAGGAGGTTGTGCATTTTGTCATTTCTGGTCCACAGGCCTTCCTATGAGCCATGCCACACTCCCCTCCCACACCTCTGGGCAAATGAAGAAACTGGCAGTCAACCCATTCCATGGCAGATAAAACGTGAGGAACAGCCAGGCCCCACGGCGCAGACATTGATGCTGAGGTGCGACCCAGGCCCCACCGAGCATCTCCACGTGGCAACGCTCCCATGGCACTAGGACAACATCTGAAAGCTTTCCTCTCCCAGTCTCTTCACCTGTGTGGTCTGGCCCTGCAGCTCTCTGACCACCCCACCTGCCCGCACCCCCACCCCCTACACACAACAGCCTCAGTGACCCCCAAGCAGATGAAGGAGCCTTTGCACGTACTGTTCCCTCGGCTAGGAATGCTGTTCCCTCCACTAGCACCAGGAGGCTCCTGTGCATCTTCTCAGGAAGGCCCTGCTGGTGAGTCTTCCCTGAAGTGGGACCCCTGCCTTCCCTCTCAGTTCTGGTTCCTCATCACAATCTGAAACTGTAATATTTATTTGCCTCCTGTTCACCTTCCCACTAGACCTGGAGCTCAGCAAGGAGGGCCATGCACACACTCACAGCCCTGTGCACACACTTACAGCCCCATACACACACTCACAGCCCGTGCACACACTCACAGCCCCATACACACACTCACAGCCCCATACACACACTCACAGCCCTGTGCACAGACTCACAGCCCCATATACACACTCACAGCACCGTGCACACACTCACAGCCCCGTATACACACTCACAGCACCGTGCACACACTCACAGCCCGTGCACACACTCACAGCCCCA